TTAATATAATAGTACATTTCATTTTTTCTTTATATCTGTTATTTTATCTATTATTAATGAAAGTCAAATTTCTAGATATGAAATATTTGTTCATAGTGTTTAACTATTATTTTTTAAACCAAATTTGCAAATCGGAAATATTTTTTGTTTAATTTTAAATAATTTATGACATTTTTTTATTGATTCATTTTTAAGAAATGTTAGCTTCGAAACTTCTTATGGAAAATACCTTAGTTTTAAGGAATACGGAATAAAATGTTTATGGTCTTAATTTAATAAATATCCTAGATATCGATAGGGTATTTCCAAGTTGAGCTTACTCCAATATAAATTGAGTAATAAATTGCAATAAATGCAAGAACTTTTTTCATTTAAATAGATAAACGTACACACACTAACCAGTGTGTGAGTTTTTTTTTTAGTTCATTAATTTTGCATTCCCATAAATTAATTTTCGATTTGTTGCTATGCAATGCAGCTGCAGTTAGGATTTTGACCCCGAGTTTTCACAGCATCGTGGAAAAATATTGGAAAATCTATATAGTACATACATATGTATATGTAGTAGCCACCCGCAGCATACCATTTCTTTTCAGTCCGCTCGCTTGGCCTCACGTCAGCAGAGAAATTGATTAAATTTGTTGATGGAATTGCATTAAATTTGCTGACTTGGCTGTGATTCCATTAGCGTGGTTTAATGGGAACCAATTTGAATGCTGGTCAATAGACTGCACACAGGAACCGCTTGACGGCAATTTATGCGCCGTTTTATCATAATTATTGCTGGAAACAAATGCTTCATGTGGTATGCGGGCTTTATTGATTTGACACTGTATACGAGCTGGCCAGATCTAAGCCGAAATGGGGGGCTGGGCAACATTTTTGGCAGCCAGTGAATGTGGCATTGCTGGTCGTTGTGGTTGTTGTACGTACATTGAGAAATAATAAATGGAAAACAAAATGAAAACAAGCCAGAACAGCAAAAATTTTAAACAATTTCGTTTGTGCCACACGGCAAAAACCTATCGAGCGGCATGGGCGAGCTGAATGCGGGCTAGGAATGGCATTCTAATCGGATTTTGTTGCAGCTGTGGCCAGAGCTGCCATAGATGCTGCTGGCAGAGCCAAACAAAAGCTTTGCCAGGGAAATTGATATCGAGAGCAATTTGGCACCATTGTGGCTAGCCGGAGTGGGAGCTGGGTTCTGGTGGGGTCAAGCCGTATGGTTTAAGGTATTTCAATTCGAGCTGTCTGTCTAACGGTGCGTATGCGCAATTGCATAATCTTTGATGTCAGCATCTGATCGAAGGGTATTTGGGGGAGGGGAGGCGGGGCACTGCAGCCTGACGTTGATGAATACAGCCATGGTGATAAATTCAATTATATGATGCCACGAGCATGGGCCATAACTCAGTGCCGAGCTGACAATGAATATGCTGAGGGAGGGGCAGGGCGGAAGACCTCGACGAAACTCTTTACTTTGCCACCTAATATCTACTCGACTATGGGCTTTAAAGTGTTGCCTGGGAATTGTCGGAGAGAAGCAGCAGCAGGAGCAGGAGCGGGAGCGGTAGCGACAGACACGCTCAATGAAATGGCACATGGAACACACATTTACACACACACAGTTAGAAAGGCATAGCGGGCCGAGAAAAAGGCAAACAACATGAAATAAATGTAATAAATTTTAAACATAGAGATGATAAATTGCTCTGGGATTTCAGCTCAAAGTGCTGCCAATGCCGAGCAGCTGTCTGAAGGCGCCTCATGCCGGCAGAGCAGCTACACGCTCTAGCGTTCGCATCCTGCTCAACATTTTTACAATTTGTTTGCGGCTTCGCTTGTCCCTCGTTTGCCTCAAACTCCAGCCACTGGCACCACATGTGTCTATGTGCGTGTGTGTTGTCTGTGTTGTTGCTATTTTCTTTTTTTTTTTTTTATCTATTTGGCCGCATGCTTTGCTGTCGTTATTTAAGTCTCTTTCGCCTTTGAAATTGATTTGACGCTTGGCTTTTATTTACTGTGCTCTACGCATGCCTTTGACACGACTCCGACTGGCAATTTAACTTCACAGCAGGCAGGCAGGCAGGCAGACTGGCAAATGTTGCACTTAAGTTTTCATGGACTGCAGCTGGATTTGTTTGAGTTGTAGTTAGCTGCTGCCAGTGCAAATAGCAACTTGAAGTCTCCTATGCAGTTGACAAACGCGATTGATTGAGTTGAATATTTTCTGTTTGTATTCTTGCAGAAACTTCAAGCCTTCCGTGATTAGGACGTGGTGTACCTAAGTGCTCTAAATGCAGACGATATGGTGAGTATGACGAGAGTGTATATATATATATATGTATATAAAGAGTGTAGCTTTACTATGACCCTAATCAAAAATCAACTTTCGACTCAAGTGCACTCAGCTTGCCCGCAAGTGCCGAAAAGTATTGCCTACTTTTTGGGGCAGCTCTCACCTGGGACAGAAGTGAGTGAATTAGCTGCAGAAAACTGATGCTGTGCAAAGTGAAAGTTTCTCTTGTTGCCACAGAGCTGGACATACAAACATCCGCACACATCCGCACATACGCTCAACCAATACACAATGCACAAGGCGCTCATGCAATACGTATACGCCGCATATGCCCCAAACGATTAGCAAGTGCATTGCATATTTATGCACAGCAGCATTTTAAATTTTCTAAAATGTGCATGGCATAACAAGGATGCTTTAAGAGACACACATACACACGCACACACACAGAGCAGGCTTATAAACAGATATATAGCAACAATTATGTTTGTTGAAAAATCTAAAAGCTGACAAAAAGCTGCACTAAGTTCTCTAATTAAAAACTACAAATTATTTTGTGCCATCATAAGTAGCTTTATGTGCACACACACACACACACGCACACCCATGCACAAGGCCAGACAACACGCAATGATATTCAGTGTGGCAACAAAAGCCAAATTTAAATTACCATTTGTCATAAAGGCAACAGCCAGTGGCAGCAGCTGCAATACGCATGCACAGCTACAGTTACGTCTCGCTAATTTCCACAGCCCGTAGCAGCTGATGATGTTTACTGCTATAGAGGAATGCGATGATGATGTTGTTGTTGTTTTTGTAGTTGCTGTTGCTGTTGCTGTTGGGCCTGGACTCTGATGGCATGCACATGCATATTGCATATGCATGCAACACGACAGAGTCGACAGACTCGACTGACAGCCAGGCAGGCAGCCAGTCATGCATGCCACGCCCACTTGCTGATGCCGCATCGTAATGCATTTTATTGCCAGTGAGATGGAGGACAGCAAAATGTCTGCGCAAAAAATGCGCAAAATTTCAAACAGTCCAAATGAAATTGTACTCGGACTATTTATTTTCTGTTGAATTTTTGTTTGTTTGGCAAATGTGGAACAGCTTGAAGGCAATGCAATGCCACGCCCACAATGTCAAACAGATTGCGCATTCATACGCACCGTTGTCCAGTCAGCTGCTAATTTCGTTATTTGTGCAGTATTTAACACTTGATTGCAATTCACTTACAGCCTGCGGCTGCAGCGAACATTTTAATTGACTTAAGCAGCAAATAGGTTAGTCAGTCAGCTAGTTAGTCAGTTAGTTGATCAGCTAGTTAGTCACACAGTTAGTCAGTTAGTTGGTAGAGCTGCTTCTTCTGCCGTCTATCACTGTCTACTCGTGTGGCTCACGCTAAATTTATGCAACGAGCTCGCGGGTGTTGGAGCGCAGATAGTATTTGCTCTACTTATTGTTGTTGTTGTTGTTGTAGTTGTTGTTGACGTTGTTGATGTGGCTGTAGCTGATGCAGCAGCTGCTCCTCTTGTTTAGTGCACTTTTTTGCTCAGCTTCCATTAACTATGCTTCATAGTCAGCTTCAAAGTATTTCACTATGTAGTTAGGTAGATAGATATACATAGATGTCTATATATACAGATATATCTATAAAAAACATTCACTTCTATTTATTTTGTACTACTTCATCTGCTTTTGGCTTTTAGTTAAATAATTTTACTAATTAAAGATGAAGCACTAAAGAGAATGGTTTCAATTGAAAGTGAAAAGGCCAAAGCATTATATTTTATACCGTTATCTCCTCTCTAACGTATGGCTGACAAAGTGCCTTTGACTTTATGTTCCGCAACACTTAAGCACAGGCACAGCTGAAAGCCGTTTAACCCGCCAGTTTGAAGAGATTAAATTTAACTTCCTCACCTCGTAAGTCGTTAAGCCAATGACCGTAGCACCTCTATTATAGGGCGACAGAGTTGTGAGCACTTGACGCTTTTTTCTCTGCTCTTTACATTGTGCATTCAATGTGTTCACGCTCTCTCTCTCTCTCTCTCTCTCTCTGATATTATTACTCTATATGAGCTGCTTGAGTATATAGCTTAAATTAATTTATTTTTTGCACTTAATTTTAATATTTAAATCGACAAATTGTCATTTTATGTTTAATTATGCCACTCATTATTTGAATTTAGTTTCATCCTAGTTAGAGTATTTCTTAATCGATGTTTTACCTAAGCTTCCCTTCTCTTTTTTCACAGCGCTCTTTTGCTTTGCTTATTTTGCAGTCTCTGCATTTTTTCTTTTTTTTTTTTCTGCGCTTACTTTGAAGTGGTTTCTGCGCTTTGGTTGCCTCTAATTGGCTGTGGCTGGCTTTTAATTTTTCTTGCGTCTTTTTTTTTTTTCTCCACCATTTTTGCTCGTTGCGTTCCGGATGGCAAATGCATTTGGGGCAGCGAGAAAAGCAGCAGTAACTGCAGCTGCAGCAGCTGCTGCTTCAGCTTTAAGTGAGCGCATTAAAACACAGAACTCTGGCTGACAAATTGCCCGACTGGACGGGGACATAATTACACTCCAAATGTCTCCATATGACTGTGTGTGAGGGTGGCTGTGCATGTGTGTGTGTCCGAATGCATAGCAAAACTAATTGCAAAATGGAAATGCAAATGGAATGGCTGGCAGCCAACAGCCAACAGCTACCAACAGCAACAGCAACAGCAGAATTGCAACAGCAGCAGCAGCAACACATCAAATAGAAGCATTGCAGCAACAGAAGCAGTACAAACAACGAATGAATGTGAGTGTGCATATGTGTGTGTATGTGTGCCTGGTGTGTCAGTCACCCACTAATGCAAATGCATAGCACCAACATTCGAAATGACAAAACAAATGTCGCTCTATTTGGGTTCTACTGTATTATTTTGTCGCACATTTGCTTCACACTCGCTGCAATTAAAATCCACAACTAGGTGCTTCAATCTGAGTGTGTAGATACGTATATACTATACGTATGTAAGTGATGCATTTTCGTATCTGTGTGCTTTAGCTGTAGATAGCATACAAAAGACTCGTCCAAGTATCTTGTGAGTTGCCCTGCTCGCTTCCCACTGCGGTTGATTCGCTTACTGTTGCCTGTATGTGTATATAACATATAACTATATTGCATTTAAAGAATACATATATATAGACGGACGGACGGATGAACGGACCTTCTATCTGATGGACAGAGTTAAATCGACTCAGCTCATCGTACTGATCATAAATAGATATACATACTTTATAGGGTCTGCTAGGCCAACTTCTGCCTGTTTCATAAATTTAATAATGCCATTATACCCATGAATTCCCATTTTCAATGGGTTCTGAATATATATGTATGAATAGTAAATTATTAATTCAAGCCAACAGACATAATATTTAAAAGAAATGAAAGCATTTAATATAATTTATTAATTTATGTATTTCTTAATGGAATGACATACAAGTATGTTTATTAAAGAAATTTGAGCCCTTGATTTATAGTAATAAATCATTATCTATATTTTATTATTGAATATCGCTATATGCATACATGTATGACTATTGCTATGCCAATAAGCCTTAAATATGGTAGAAACTTGATCAATATTATTGTTGTTACTCTCTTCCTGATACTCTCTTAAGGCGCTCCGTTTTTCGTATTGCCTCAAGTCACGAATGTTTCTCATTTCGTACCTGTCTCTTAATTTGATTTTTTACCTGAGTTCAGTGAGTAGTTTTCTTCCGTAGGAATTCTAATTATGTATTTCTAGATATTTTTGACACATTCAAATTTTCTTGTTTGTTGTTGTATTTCGTATTTGTGAAGCCCCTTTTCGTATAGATAACACAATTATGAACCGATCTATTGTGTGGGTTTGACTATCCTATAGTGTATTTAGCATCTGTTTCTGTTATGGAGCTCTGACAAGTAGTTAGTTTAGATGGGAGTATAGATTGTAGTGATATATTCTCAAATTTGAAAATAATAGAGAAGTAACCGACCACAGACAGCTTGGCTGAGCATGTTGAGTATATATATATATATATTCATGAATAGCTCTACGATAATTTATTTGATTAGTTAGTTGCTTTTTACCCATTTCGATATTTGTGAATTTTTCAGACAGTCAGTATACCCTTGTACTTCTTGAACTTCTTAGAAGTGTGCTCTTCAAGCACTAAAATTCAAGCATAATTATGAGAGTTCAAGCTACATACGTTTCAATTTGGACAGCCTACTTCCCAGGAGGTTGAGGTTGCTTCCACATCTTCCAGGTGCGCTTGTCAAACATTTTCCCACTCCCGCTCACCGCCTCCCCTCTTCCTAGCTCTATTTGATGAGTGTCTGTAATAAAAAGAATGTTGATATGCTACAAGAAGCAACCGCAGAGCAAAGGAACTCAACAGACATTGCCCTTTCCTTGACACCACCTACTTCCGGACAATCAACAAGAGCACACACACACACACACATACTTATATATGTACACACAGTCGCATATTTACCTAGTTACGCATATGTCTAACTGGCATTAGTGCAGCATTGCAGACATTTCCACACAGCAAAACGAAAATGTTGCTAAGCAAATGGGCAAAGGGGTAACAGGGCAGCTGGTCAGTTGGGCAGTTGGGACAGTTGGCGTAGTTGGGGCAGTGGAGGCCAATTTTGGGGCTGGCCTCAATGGTAGAGGACACTCAATGCGTTAACGGCAAGTGACACGTGCGTGTGTGTCTGTCTGTGTGTGTGTGTGTGCCTGTTTGTGGTTTGGAATTTTACGTTGATTACGAGCACTTTATGCGTCCGTGTTACGTGTGGGCGTTGTGCCCAGTTCTGTTGGCGTTGCTTCTGTTGCGGCTGCTGTTTTGTGGCGATGTCTGTTTACCATCAGCTGAACATGACAATGACAACTATGCGTTCATTGTTGCAATTTTTACTTTATTATCAGCGCCTGTAATCGCCGCAAGGACAACTCTACGCACACACGCACACACCCACCCACACACACACGCACATTTTGTGTTAGATAACCCCCCGAGACAATAGTGAAAATGGATAAATGAGTTTCATTCATTGCCTGTTCTGTTATTGACGTAGCTCGGGTTCTGGGCGTTCGGCATTTTGTTATATTTTGAAATATGTATGTGCTGCGGCCTAAGAATGTGGGCGTGGCATGCTGGCTAAGCTAATCTAATGCACTTGACGATAATTTATTATTATTCACAGCGAACGCGCTTTGCTGCCAAAATGAGTTATGGGTGCTAAACATGTTCTAAAAGCTCTCGGCCTAACGGCACAGTTGCGACAAGCTGTCAAAAGCTGTAGACATATTAACAGCAAAAAAGCTTATGAGTGCGCACGAGACAAAAGTGTAAGGAACTCAACTAACAGCTTTTTGTGTTAAGCTTTTGTACGTCCTGAAAAGCTCAGATTATGTAAAAGGGATTTCAAATTAACATAAACTTGAAATGTTAACTTAACATGTTAAAACAGAACAGAAAGACTTAACAATTAGAGTTTCCCAGGATTTCAGTACACAAAAAATATAAATAAGTTAAATTGATGAACATAGATATTTCTGAATAGTAAAAAATTCATTTTGCATTTAATTTGTCATTTTCGTTAAGCGTAATGCATACCTCAACGAAGTCACGCACATTGCTGTCCACAGTTTGACTTTTGCTTTTCGTAGGTTAATTAAAACGCTTGATTGTTGTTGAGATGAACCATTTTTAATATCCCAGATGAAACGCAGATATAAAGGACATATATGTATGTGGATGGAGACTTTGGCTCTTTACATGAATATTCATGTCATACAAATTTAAACACTGAAGTTATTTAATCACATATTGAATATTCCATTGCATTGGACATTGAACGAATAAATTGCATTTTGTGCATGTACTTCTTATTATTTCAATTTTCAATTTGTTTCAAGCTGTTGTCATTTATTTAAATGATTGGAATTATAGGTGATAGATATATTAGTGAAAGAAGATTAATAACAATCCAAAGATCGCCTCATTTAATAATAATTTAAATAAATCCTCAAGTCTTCTAAAAGTCTCGTCTTGACATCTTATCATTCAATACTCCAGTCTAGTCATTGCACAAAAATATAAATTAAGAGAAACATTTACAAATGTAAATTTGGAATACAATTTAGTTTTATAAACAAAAGAGAAATATATTTTAAAATTTCATATTAGTTCAGATAAATATTCAATACACCGTATTTTTTCTTAAGCCCCAACCTAAAGTAATGCATATGCGCTGTAAATCCCGTGTCATTCGAATTCGTAAAAGAGACCCACCATGAGATAAGATGAGACGTCAAATACTGTAGCCACACGCCTGCTTGCCCACAGTTCTCGCTGAATACAATTCGAATTTGTGTATAAAAAAAGCTATTAAATCGATTTAATAAGATGAGCTTTAAATCACACATAAAAAGAAGCCGTTGGCAATTGCAAATAACAAAGCGAGAAAGAAAGAGAGAGAGAAAGAATGAAAATAAAAAGAGGAAGAGAATAGAAAGAATAACGAAATGAACCCTCATTTGGGATTGGTTAACAAAACGTCAAAGGATTGTGCCGCCGGCAAACGCCAGTGGAAATTGATTAAAAAGTAGCGCAGATGGCGGCGATAGCCTAAATACACAGAGCATGGAATGTTTTTGCGGGACGCTTAATCCCGGCCAACACGAGTCGACGAATTCCCTCTAAATGGCATGAGAATGAGCTCTGACTGGACCAGGCCCATAAAACTTCCATCAATGAAATTTGGGTATTGGTCCAGTTAGATGGACATATAGATAGATATATATGTGTGTGTGTCTGTGTGTGTGTGTGCGTATCATTTGTTTGCATTGGACTCGTTTTCTCTAGGTCTAGGGTTAACGGACTCGTTTTTTTTTTTTTGTTTTTTTTTTTTGCTTTTACTTGTGACATCTTTTTAACATATTATGTTTTCTGCTCTTTCCATTTACAGGGCACAACATGGCCTCAGCACAGATACGACATTTCTATAACACACCAACAACAACAACAAACAAATCTCCTTCTTCCACAACAAACCAACTCTTACAACAACAACGACAACAGCAACACACGGTCAACAGCAAACGGAAGCAATTTGAAAGTGAAGCGTTTGTGTGTCACACAACAACACAAAGTGAATTGGAAGCAGCAGCAGCAACAACAACAACAGCAACAGCAGCCGCAGCAACATGGCAGTTTTCTACACCAGCAACACTCGGGGCAGCCACAGCAACAACAACAGCAACAGCAGCAGCAGCAGCAACATCATCAGATGATGTACAAACGAGCGGAAGTAAGAAAGGTGTGTCAACTTGGTTATGGACAATATATGAGATCGCTATCAGCAGCAGTCGTAGCAGAAGCAACAACAACAACAACAACAACAGCAGCAATAACAACAGGGACAACAGAATGTTACAGCATGTTGGCACAGAGCCTGAGCACCAACAGTCGCATCAGCAATATCCTGTTGCACGTTCATATGGTGCTAATGTCACTGACGGCTACAACGATATTGGCTCTAGCGGTACGGGATGGCAGCGCATTGCTGTTGCAACTATGGGTGCCACTGCTGCTGTTGTTGGGCGCTCTCAATTGGCTGCCACTGACAACAACTGCAATACAACGGCTGCAACGGCAACAGCCAGCCTATGTAAGCCAGCTAAACAATCACGCTTATCTTCCAAAAACAAACACGGCCAAGGTCAAGACTCTACAACAGCAACACAGACAGCAGTCACACCAACAACAACAACAACAACAACAACCAAACAACAACGAAAAGTCTATCAACACTGCACAAACGATGACGCTGCCATTGCCCAGGGCACTCGGACTGTCAAATTCTTTATGGATATGCAAAAATTTGCACGCACTGTATTTCCGCTTGTCATTGTCTTCAATTTGCTACCTTTATTCTATGCAGGTAAGTCCCGCGGCCAGCTCACTTAATTAGGCTAACTGAAATTTACACATTTGCTGCCTGGTCAGCATAAATCAACAAATCAACAACTTAAGAAAACACACCACACTATACTACAAAACATAAGACTAATTAAGGCCAAGTTTACTGTTTACCGCAAAGCTTTGTTCTCGGCAAATGTCCTTTGACTGCCAATCAAGTCCGCTGTTGTTGTGGCTCTGCTGATTGGCAGCTGTATTAGGACCAGAGTGCCGCCTGAGCATATAAATAAATATACGTATAAATGCTAGCATACTTTTAAACGCTGCCCTAATACATTTGACAATATTTGCAAATTGACCCCACACACTGACACTCTGAGAGCAGCAGCTCATTATTTATATCGACATTGTGGATAAAAGAAAAAAAAAAAAAAAAATGAAATGAAATGAAACAAAAAAAGGTCACGAATTTAATGACCAACCGAACCAAAGCGAACCTTGCCCCAGGACTTGCGCTCAAGTCCTTTGCGTCAACTTTTTAACATCTTTTTTTTTCGCTCTGTGTTGATGCTGCTCATTTCTCACAAATAAAAATCAAATAACTTAATGTGCGTCAATATCTCCGTTTTGGCGATACCCTGTAAGCTGATTAAGTTGCATGGGTAAATTAAGCTAAACTTACTTTTATATATTATATTTGGACACTTAAATAATTTTCAGATCATTTTTTTATATGCATTAGCAAATGAATATTAAACGAATATTGATAATAGGTATTTGTAGTTTAATAAATCAGATAATCGGTCTCTACTCTTCATACCTATTAGCAACAATGGAAGCTCGCAAATAACTGTTAATCATCTCTGGCTGTCAATAAGTGTCTTTCACTCGCACTTTCAGAACAAAACTCAGAGAGCCACCGATTGGCGTACGTGTGTTGAGTGTGTCCATGTGAATGTATATGTGAACATCGTGTGCATTGACTCTTTGAGCAGTCCCATCAATCGTATCGTTTCCCTAACGATGTTCATTAAAAGAGCGTCACACGAACAGTTCAACGCAAGGCACTTAACCGAAGACCAAGACGAACAGAACCGAAGGTTGTTGCTCAGAGAGAGAGAGAGAGCGCGATTTGGCTTTCTTTCGGTTGATCTCGCGTACAGAGCGAAATAAATAGCGGGTTTCAGTTATTTGTGAGCTATGAGCTGTGAGCTGTAGGCTTGATGTTTTATAATAAATTTTAATGCTTAATATATAAAGTATACATTTTAATATACAACATTTAAATTTAATGGATATATAATTTAATGTATGCATAACAAACAAAATTTATATAATATTCTTCTTCAGATATATAATTTTGTTGGTACCAATATTGAATATATCAATATATTAAGTACAGTTACATACATTTGTCCAGACCAAGCTACCCCTTTCGTCACTTATGTACATACATACATACATATAATTAAAAACCACTTTATTATAAAGTTTGGGTTGCACAGACAATAGGCTGCGACCTTTTCCTTTTCCTTCTTATTTTATTATATATATTTTTTTTTTTTTGGCAATTTGCTTGCCGGCCTTTGTTGCTGCGGTAAACTTATTAATTAAACGCGAACATAATTATTTAAGACAATGCAGCAGGGCACAAACAGCTGCTTAATAAAATTGAATTTGCGATCCTCAGTTTAAGGACTTACTTAGTGGGTTGGCGCTCAACAATTGCCTAATGTGCCAAAGCCGAAAGAAAAACAATAAGAGAACAAAACAGAAAAAAAGCAAAAAGAAGAAAACAGCAATACAAAGGCAAACAAAAGGAAATCAATGACAATTCCTTAAATGTCCCTCATTATTATCGCTAGTCGCATCCGAGCAGCGATTTAACTAAATTCAAGCGTCCGTCTGGCTGGCGGCTGGCTCGTTACTGTCTTATCAGTTGAGCCAGTTACGGCCGCTCTCTCTCTCTCTCTCTCTCTCTCTCTCTCTCTCTCTTTAGGCTCGCGTCTGCGCAATTCCATTGGCCATCTTATCACATCCGACGGTTATCAGTGCCTATAGAAATTGTTTATTGGGTAATACAGCCTTTGTTTGGCGCGCAAAAACTGCTGACTATATGTGTATTGGCAGCATAATGGATTCTCTCTAATTTGCCAGATAATGAAAGCCAAACTTAATACTTAACATCTATGAAAGGCAACGCGGTGGCGTGTCAAGTGGCAACTTGTCGTCCTATTAAAGACAGAGCAAACGAAACAAATGAAATAAGCAACTCGCTGAGCCGTAGCTGTGACAATTGTAACCAAAATCCAAAACAAACAACTTACAGATTCTGTCTGAGAAAGCCAAAGCGTAAACCAAACAGAAGCTGTAAGTGGTGTAAGTGTGAGTGAAAGGGAGAATGCAGGGGAAAAATCCCTAAAGCGAATATGCTGTGCGAAAAAAAATAGTAATAAAAGAATCATAAATTCAATTTGATTCAAGATTTATTGAATGTGAGTTGCGTTCATGCGATTGTCGAACAGCGGCAGCAGCCAAGCAGTCAAAGTTATGGCAAAAGCTTTCGCTTACTCAGTCCTTGCTATCGGACACACATACAAACACACTAACACACTCACATTGATATAAATCATCGGCACTCGTGCTCTCTCTTGCGCGCTCGGCTCTCACATTGCTTTATATTGCGTTGGCAGTGCACGAATCAACTCAGTCGATGATAGTCGGCCAGGCACGCAAGTCGCTTCAGGAACAGCAGCAGCAGCAGCAGTCGCAGTAGCAGAGCAGCAGTCGCAGCAGCAACAGTCAAAGCCAAACTACAAGTCGTGTCGTGTGACAAGCTTCAGCAGCAGCTTAACCGTTACTTTTGGTTCGTGTTTCGGAAGAGTCGCTTGAAATTCGAAGAGATTGCTTAAAGTCGTGCGTCGCTTTTTTTTTTTATCGCTTCTGTGCCTTTTTATGTTGCAAATTTTAATCTAATTTCTTTCGCATTTTCCTTTGTGTGCACTATTCGCGCGTCTTTCTTCTTCTTCAGTTCTTTGACCAATTAAGCTTGTAACGCGCGCTAACGTCCATAAGATTGAGAAGAAGAGCTTAAACCCAAAAACACAATAAGCTGATACAGGACATCGTCTATTTGCGAGGGTTTCGCGCAAATAAAGCGTAAATATATCTAAATGTAATTCGAAAATTGTACAAAAAATTGGCTTTTCTGTGCACATTTGAGAATCGAGTGGTGGAAAAATTCGGAGTTTCGATGAGATCATGCAATGAACAAAGAGGGATTACAAGGCTCAGGCCAAGTGTATTACGGATATATATAGAGACTTTACTTAGCATTTAATCAACATACAGTTGGTAATTCATATAACGAAACATCACATATTTGAGCCAGCAGAAGAGCACTTAAAATTCAACTAATCCCAACCAGCTGCGACTCAGTGCTTACAATGCATAAATGATTGCACTTGAGGAATACTTCTATTATTAGTTGACTCAGCCGAATAGGCAAGCAGATTTCCCCATTGTTGTCAATGATTTCCATTTATGCGTCCTTTGCACAATGGAAACGCAGACATGCCAGTGAGCGAGCGGGCGATTGCGACATAAAAGCAAATATAGACGTAGTTCGGATTGGCTGAGGACAATTGTTGAGGGAAGTTATGCACCTGGACAAAGCCAACGCAATGTGAATTGTAAAATTGTTGTTTTACAGCTGGATCAGCGCCAGTGTCCAGTCGGACAGTAATTGACTCTTATCTAACTGCGAATGCCTGTCTGCGACGCTTGACTGCCGCTGACAGGCGACTAGCAGCTGATTTGATACCGGTTCTTAAGCAACTAATTAAAATGCTTGAACCACACGCGCTGAGCAGGATACCCCTGGGGTGTTGCCGTGCCTGAGAGATCACGATACTCCGAGTGGGTGCTCCTCAGAGCAGAGTGCAGAGCAATTTGCCAGTCGTTGCAAAGATTGAAACGTGCCAACTGTGCAAATAGTCAATCAATAGCCAATCGTTGCTTGTTTTGTGTTTGTGCGTTTGGTGCTCTGTTTGTATAAGTCGGCCAGGTGATAAGCAAACAGCATATCGAAGTGATAACCTCAACCCTTTAGCCAGCCTACGCAGAGAAACAGCCAACTGCTGCCACCTTTCCCTTTTTTTGCCCCTTTTTTCCATTTTTTTTTTTTTTTTGGCAACTTGTGTGTGCCACCTCTGCCAGCTTCAGCTAGCTGGTTTTGCAGCTAATGGAGAGATAAAAGTTGCTACGTGTGGTAAATGTTAAGACGAAAAGGCTGAGTGACGACGACTATAAATGATGCCTGACTCCGAGGCCTGTCTGAGGCTCTTACGCATAAATTATTTATTCATTTGCTGTCGTAGGGTTTTTGTGTGCATCGTTAAAATTGCTTTTTGGCTGGGATGGTTCCTCTCCCCCTTTGGCTTTTCGGTGTGTAGCCGCAGCTCTGGTTGACGAACTATGTATATTTCATAATAAGCTGCACTCGTTTAATTTTTATGCAGACTCGTGAAACTCTTTCTTGCCACGCCCAGCCTACGGCCACGCCCACGGCAACGCACACATGCTGAAGTGCGCTCCTCGGCTCATATGGCTGGCCGTATTTAGTGAATTTCTTGCCCCAATGAAATGCAAAGAAATATGCTAAGCATTGGGCGGCTGACTGGCCCTGCCTGCAGGGCGTGGCCATGGCAAAGTTTCCGTTTTATTTTTTGATTATTTCCGGTGCGCTGCGCCTTTTCATTACTATTTGCCGGCGAAGGAAAGGAGAGGAATGGAAAGGAAAGGAAATTATTTCAATTTTTGCCTATTGGCATTGGGCGCACGTTGCGTATGCGTAACTTTTGAGACCACCAGCCCGAAATTAATTAGCCTGCTCAGCTCATGAGTAAAACGGTTTTTGTTTTCACATATTTGCTTTTAACTCGCTCCCTCAATTCTATTGTGGTTGTTTTTTTTTTTTTTTAATTTTTTATTTTCTGTTTTTTCCCTTTTGCCAGTGCAAATTTCCGGCCAGCTGGCCCAGTTGAAACACTTGCTGGCGCTGTCATGTGATATGAAAAATATAGAAATATATCGCAACTTTTTCATTACATCAACGTGATGCCTGTCAGCCAAGAAACTTTTTAGCCAACAAACTTTGCGCTGTGCACAGCACGCCACCGGCTCTGCCAGTGTCACAGCCAGTTTTAGGCGATGGGCGACTGAACACGCCCACTACTCTAAATTGTATTTTCCTTGTAGACGGCGCTAATGAGTTCTCTGATTAAAATGTAATAGACCCCAATGCCCACTCCCGCTCCGGATGTCCTCCAACAATTTTCAGAAATTACCAAGTGGCTGTCAGCAAGACTCTAAGTCCCCTAATTAAAGTACACACAGTTGCCTAATCGTGAGTAGCGCGAGTAGCGGCCTAATTGAAAACAGGTTAAAGACCAAATAGCAAGCGTTAAGTATACGACAAGTTCAACAGCATGTCAGCCAAATTAAAAGCAAACAATGCTGTTTATTTTGACGGAGGCACTGCACAAGAATTTTTCGAGCATTTTCAATCATAAATTTAATTTTAATTTACAATTTCTCATTCGCAAATTTATTGTCGCAGCTGTCGTAAGTCCCAATCGCTTTTTATTGCATCAGACTCTGATTTATGAAATTAAAACTTAAACATATTTGAGAACTACTTATGTATTTATGAGCAAAGAAGAGTCGAATGATATTGCCAATATACATATATATTTATTATTCAAGCAATCCAATCAATTAGCCAAAGGCATTTTCGCTCAGGTATGTAGCTGCAGTCGGTCAATCAATTTCAGGGCTACGCCATAAAAGTGCGGATGATGCGACTTGACAGCATTACGAGGGCAAACTTGTCGAACTTTGGCATAGTCAAAAAAAAAAAAAGTTTTGCTGTGCCACAAATATCTCGGCTTCGGAATTGGCAAGAACTAAAACCGTATTACAACGGTATCAATGAAGCACGTTAATGTGTCTGGCCCGCAAAGTCTGTGGCTGTATTAAATATTAATAGCATAAGCATATAAATATGTCAGTAATAACGTGTCACTCACACGGATAAGCGCTTATTGTGTATTTCCATTAAATAAATCAATTCACCCCAAAGCGATTCCAGATGCCAATGCGTCCGCATGCAAGAGTCACTTTAAATTTAATCATGCATATGCAAAACCAATTGACTCATTTGCATTTCAATATTTCTGCAAATTAAATATGTCAAACGCAATATAAATACTCTAAATACAAGTGAAATGAGGAAAGAGGCACAGCTTTGCTGACATTGCATAAAATACAGAATTTTACATATATAGTTAAAACTGAGTTAATTCAATAAATTATTCATATAAAATTCAACTAGAAATCATATGTATATAATTGTCAAGTAAGACTCAATCCAATACACTCATAGAGAGCGATGCATTATTCTGTTATTTCTTTATCGTCATGCTGATCAGATAAATCTATATTGACTGATAATTTAGTGGTATATTGAAATTAAACTTAAAGTTGTAGCTGGCCAACAGCATTTTGCTTTTTTTAATACTTTTTATACCATATTTCATTCTTCAGCATTTAATTGTTCAGCATTTCATTCTTTTCTCCTTTTATGTTAATATTGCATTCACTATATTGTTAACAGTGTCGTATTTAGCATTAACAGTACTGTTATGGAAAACTAGGTTATTCCACCACAGGACTGTTAATGTTAGAAATGAGACTGTTAACGATAAATGTAGTGTAAAGCAATATAGTTGTTTCACTCTAACACCTGAAAGCAAACGACTAGATTTAGCCTTAATGAATGAAAGAGACAAACGATTAAAGCAGATGCAGAGCATTAAAAAGAGTTAATCTTACTATAATTACCTTAATCTCATTTCTGAAGATGATCTTTAAATGTTTTATCAACAGAAACTATAGTCAACATATATATATATATTTTTTTTTTGTGTTCCACGCTATGGCCAGCGTATTCCCTCGTCGTACAGCAWCAGCAGTGTGACACTTGCTTTTCCCTGCATCGATGACAGCCAATTGTGCGGCGTAAAGTGAGCAGTCAGTAGTGGCAGATACTTAAACGAGAATGTCATTTAGCCAAGAATTTCATCAATCTTCGTTGGGCGCCCGCATTGCTGCATTGACGCACAAAGCGGCCAGGACATTGGCGTTGTCCTGCCTTGTACGACGATATCTTTTGAGTCATAAAATAAAGGCCTTTGTGTCGCATTTGCGTAATCTTTAAAGCATCCGCATAAAGCTAACGTGAATGCGAGGCATGCAACAGGACAGGACAATGCTGTTGGCATGTGGAGGTAGCCTTACAACAGGGAACAGCGTGGCCTTTGCGCCGAGGTTAAATTGTCGCTCTGCCTCTTCCCTAATCTGTCTCACTCGCTTAGCATTTCATTGTGTCTATCTCCCTCTCTCTTTAAACAGCAGACGGGCGCTTAAAATTTAAGACAAAAGATTTTTGCTGAGATCTAGCTTAAGTGTAGTCAGTTGCGGAAATACTTACGGCGGGCACATACACACATACATACATACTCACACGCACACACCTGGCTGTGTGTTTTCCGAAATCAGCAAAGCTCGCTGACTGCCTACAGCTGGCAGCTCTGCCTTAGTCCTGACTAAACAAGTGCAATTATTTTAATGCACTTTTGACTTTTGACATTGCAAGACAACAGCTGCTGTTGCAACTACAACAACAACAACAACAACAAAAACATAGAGGACAATCTTGAAGCACTTTAAAGCATTTATGGCTGGCATTGTTTGTCTACAGGCGCTGAGCCGCCCATTGAGTACAACACTTGGCGGCACTGCCTCAAGGTCGCCCGCCGCCTGAACTTGCCCCAAATGCTGCATCCCGCAATTACGCAGCGTTTACACTGCGCCAATGCAATTTTCTCTAGCTTGATTGTAGTTCTTTTCTTTTTCCTATTTTCTGTTTTTTTTTTTTTTTTGCTTACTTAAAGTCCTTCTGTGGCTGTCGCTGTTGCTCTTGACACAAAATTGAATTCGTGTTGGCTTCAAAAATTTGCCAACGTCACCCGCAGCTGATGATGTCGATGGCTACGCACCATCAGACACTGGCAGCGCCTTTTTATTCCGAGCCCGGCCACATTTGCCGTCCCTCCCTCCTCCCAGCCAGCGTAAACAAATTTCTGCAAATGCTCGCATAAAACTTACGAAATTGCAAAACGTATTTTTTGCTTTGCCCATCCGGGAATAGGGGAAGCGTGGTGTGTGTATTGTTTTATTTATTATTATTATTTTTTCGTTTTTTTCGCTTGCGTGTGAGTGTGTTTGTGTGTTTCTTGTTTCTTCTATCTGTTGGCTGACGCGCTGTCAGTTGGGCGTTGTCTGGCCGTCATGTCCTCTTGTGGCGCGTCGCCTTCAAAGCCAGCTGTTATTGCCGAGGAAGGCGCTAATTTAATTAAGATCCGCCGACAAACCGGCAGGCGATATATGTCAGTAAAATGTGCTGTAAGTCTTTGAAGTGCGCCATCCACTCTGACTTGGATACTTTGCTGCTTCTCTTGCCTTCAGTTCCTTCACAAAAACAAAAACAAAGTATGAATCATTTTTAGGTTTATTATCGTTTGKCATTAAACAACAGCCAGCAACAACAACAAAAGCTGGCAATATGTTACGTATACGCAGCGTCTGTTTAGCATATTTACATTTTCGAGCGTTGCTTGCTTTACCTGCGTAAGCTGCACATAAACTGATAAATTGACTTATTGCAAAATAATCGACTCTGGCAAAGCATCCTGCCCGTCCTGCCACTCCCCGCCTTCTCATCTTTTTATGACATATTTGGCTTTATGATGTAGTTGAATTTGAAATTTTTCGAGCCGCAGCTCGTGAGCAGACAGCGGCGCATAAATTAAGGCCGGCCTCATTTGCCGCGCAGCAGGGCGCATTTAGTTGAGGCAGTTGCTGCCGTTTCATTAATATTAATTGACCAATCCAAAAGGAACAGCCAAAAGGGACATGACCGGAGCGAAAAAAAAACTATGTCGGGTTTATTTAAAAAAGAGCCCAAAATAACAAATTTGTTTTGGGCATTGTTAACGAAAAATGCACATAAATAAAAGCGGGCATTAGGCCAACGGCAAGCCAAATAAAATAACGTTAAAATATGTAAAATTAGCAGCGGCTGGCAAATCGGAATTTCTGCCCAAATTTTTGGGTCAATTATTAGATTGCATAGCCGAGTTATATAAATGAGGTAGAATCTACGATATGACATGTGTGACTAGCCTTAGATATTTGCTGTGGGTGGGCGTGCCTGGCGCCCCTTTCTAAATGTCGCTTGAAATTGAAAATACGAAATGTTCTCCGCTCAGCTCCCAATGGCTGACAGGAGAGTTTCCCAGCTGCCTCAGCGCCAATAGCCCTGTCCAAATATTCAATTGAGAATGTTGTCTGCTTTTATATTTATATTTTGATTTCTTTTTCTCAATCTCTCTGCCTCTCTCTCTCTCTCTCTCTCTCTCTCTCTCTCATTTTTATTCATCGTCGACTGTCAGCAGCTGTGGCCATTCACTGCTGTTGCTGCATTAGTTTTTATGCTCACCTTTGGAGCTGGAGGTGGGAGGTGGGCGATGGGAGCTGAAAAGAACTTTTCCAAACTGTGTTTCTCCTTCATTCAGTTTTTCCATTATTTGAGCTGCAGTTGGTTTCACTGTAGTTGTTTGTATTGATGTAGCTAAGTCTTTGCCCATTGCTAAACTGTCAGCGTTATTTTCATTTCTCTCGTATACTTTATATATATTATATCATTTATATATATGCGAGCACTTGATTCTAAGCGCACACAGGACATGGAATTATTGATATTGGCAAATATATTTATTTGCCATTTTTATTTTCACTTTTATTAACTTTGCTGTGAGCTTAACAAACATTTGTTGTGCTGCTCGGCAGTCTCGTAAAGTTTTGTACATGATTGAATTCCTGTGGGCTCATAATCGAATTATTTCTGCACATTTAAACTAGTTTTCCTTTCGCTACTCACCATATAGCATAGTTTCTTCTTTTTTTTTTTTTTTTTTAATAGAGCTTGTCAAGCTTTGCCTTGCTTGATAATTGAATTTTCCCGCTGTGTGCACTTTGTCCACTCAGCGGGAAATTAAGTGAATGACTTTGTGTCAGTTATCGAAAGGGTTGGCCGCGCAGCAAGCTGCTGCTTGTTGTTGTTATTGTCGAAGGCGTCATTGTTGCCCGAGGACAGGTAAATTGACACTTGATATTGCAGAGAGTGCAACACCCAACAACAGTGTTATCTGAGCCACAAATGCCACTCGTAGGCATTGTGTTAACAACTCCGCTGATCCAATGCCAAAGAGAAACAAGAATAGCGACAGAGGCATTAATAGACGGCTTGGGTCAGTCCTCTATCTCACTATTATTGGTTGTGATTTTTGGCAAATTTCCACTTGTGCGCCTTCTGATAGACTCTGGCTCACACACACATATACACCCATACATATATATATATATGTAGCCTGCGCACAATGCGAACGGCGACGTATGACAAGTTTTGGGCTGTCCACAAGCTGTCACAGCGCACACATTGGTGGGAGTGGGAGCGGGAGGGCGGGTAACCGGAACCTTAGCCGAGGCATTTTACGCACAGTCAAGCGACTGATAGGCAGTCCTCGAAATTTATGGTACGCAATTTGTTTCGGCCCGCCCGCAGCCATGTGAGGGCATATATCAATGCCAACAGAGAGCATGAGTCGGGAAGTTATGACAAGTAATTGGGCCTGGGTTAGTCCCCACGGATGATCTCAACTGTGCACAGGCTAGGTCAACAAGAACAAAATAAAAAAGAGCAAAGAAAACAATGGAAAAAGGTAAAAAGGGTAACACAGTACAACAACAACAACAAATCTCTGTATCTTACACAGCAATTAAACGGAAAATAGACGCACCGAAGCTAAGATCTTCGGTCTCCTGTTGAGGCAGACGGTTTCCACTTAAACGTCCGGATGAGTAACAGCGCTATGGTGGCCGTGGCCATTTGCTGCATCTTGGTGCTCCTGGCGGTATTCATTGTCATCATCATAGTGGTGGGGCAGCAGTTCGAGGAGCCCAAATGAGACATGCTCCAGCTGGGACCTGGCAACTTCCCAGATGGATAACACAGATCGACAAACTGTTAATTGCCAAGGCACCAACTAGTGCCAACCATCAACAACAACAATATGATGAAGAGGAGAAGCTGATGCATTATACCGCCGTCGTCCATCGATGTCCACATAACCAACCATACGAGTCACATCTAGAATTCAAGGTCATCCCATATAAGGCGAATGGGCTAGAGAATGAGAGAATCGTCAGAGATCGAAGGAGAGCGCTACAGCGCTATTAATCGAAGAAGAAGTAGAAGTAAAAGTAAAAGTAAAAGTAGAAGAAGAAGACATCCCAACGTCAGTACCCATTGGCTGTGATGTGAAGTTTTTAGACAAATTAAAAATCAACAAAATTTGAATCATTCCTCATGCCGCAAAACACATCTATAAGTAGACGTTTACCTTGTGTGTTTGTTAAATGTTGTTATGAGCAAATCAATATTAAAAAACCCTATATACATGTTTACATAATTTATAATAATATGTATATACATATACATAGTTATGGGTAACCCAACCGTCGGAACATCGCGATTTTATACAAGTGTTGTTAACAAATTTTTATTGATGTTTTATTGATGTTGCATTCAACTAAATACACACAAAGACACTTGAACAGTTGCAGACAAACACACTCACAAACACATACACTCAAGCCAAGTAAAAATGTAAGCAAAATAAATTTATATAAACGTCTCAATTGACAACTATGCCAAAGTCCAAGCACGCAACATGTGGCCAGGCTGGATGCTGGACAACAAAAGGAAAATAAAATAAAATATAAATGAAATATAAATGAAACGCATACGAATCGTATGAGCAAGCAGCAAACTATGTAGCAGAGGCAAGAGGCAAGACGCGAGAGGCGAGTGGCGAATGCAGCAAGACAAAGACAAGGACAATAGCAAGCGCAACCAATGAGCTCAAGGCAACACTGCTCAAGCCTAGGATACTCGAATTAATGTATGTAGATGGATGCAGAGATGTAGTAGGAAATGTATATGGATTTATAAGCAATCGCACCTATTAATAGCAGCAACTGGAAATTGTAGGAGCATGAGAATCAGAATCAAAGCTGTTGGCATAGTTCTAGTAAATGATATGCATTTTATATATCAAATAACTTTTGGATAAGTTTTATGTGTGTGAATTAACTCATATATATGTATATATATGTAATGATATACATATATGCATATATGTATGTGTATAGAAATATGAATAACAAATTAATAATACATATGGTTACATATACGTAATTATTTAATTTTCGATGTATACTAAAGAGTTCTCTATGTGTCTGTTTGAACAGCAACCCGTATACCCGAACAACAAATGAGATAATTCAATTTTAAAGTTATGTGAAACAACAACCAGAATAACCAGTAAATTCGATATAAAATAAAAATACATTTTATGCGAAACGTACGCGCGTTGTAAACAAATATAATATCTATTCAAATAAATTAACCAAATAAATTGCAAGCTTCGTTTTTATTATGAAGTGCTCCAGGCTGAAATCTGATATCAGAAATTATGCATAGTTAGGTAAACAGAATTGGCCAGAATTATATATATATAAAAAAAAAAAAAAAAAATGAAAAAAAGAAAATGAAAAAACATTTGATTGGCCTCATTTCATCTAAATAGCAACAAGTTAGCCCTTATTTTATGGAAATTGAAAATATTGTAAGACACGGAAAACTACTCAAAATTGTGGGAAAAAAGTGGGAGAGTAAAGTCTCGGATAAAAATGGAATTTAATTCGACTGCTTTAGAAATCCCTCAGGTATGCGCTTAGCAATATACAGGTGTTGGTTGTCGGTGTGCAGCTATGCAGCAAATTCATTTCAAAGGCCACGTAGCTGCTGCAGGCAGTTGCAAGCTCACACTCACATACACATGTCTACTTGCCCCCAGTTTTAGATATTACAACGTTATAAACTGCTGTTGTTGGCAGTAAAAAAAAACACACACACACAGTAGTTGCTGCCAGGAGACTAAAGCCGGAGCGTGCAGCGACAATAAAGTTTTATTAGTGCAGGTGCTGTCAATGATGTTCGCCCACCTGGTTGATTAAAATGGCAACGTTAAGCGTTGCTTGGCGAAGAAGGCTTTAAGCTCTGACGAGCCTACGGGGCTCATGAAACATTCCTGTGTAGTCAAATTCTTCAGTCATTACGTGAGACCTTTGTACTTATTTAAAATAATTAAAATATAATTAAACACAGCTGTTAACAGCAAAGTGAATTAATTACATTTATACATAATTAAACAAAGCTATGAATCTAATATTTGTTTCTGGCTTCTCATTTGAGCTGAACTTGAATGGAACTGAAATTCCATCAGACTTGAATAAATGATCCTGACGTATAATCCATATCTGACATTCCTTAACTTATCCAGCAACTCCGTGCATCATCTCAGCTATAAAGTTTATTTAAAGACACCTTGTCATGAGTATTAAACTCTCTTCTTCTTTATTTGTATATGTCACACACGAATTCACGGGAAGCCGTCACTCTACACAATGCGTAAAATTAAGCTGAAATTAGGATTGTTTACTTGAATGATTGATATTTCGCAGAGCCCTGCAATTCGCTGTGCCCTGAGGTCGTGTATTTAAGATGTTGACATTTGCTTTCCAAAAGTTCTTCAATTTGGTTGACAAAGTGGGGGAAGAGCGGTCTCATGAGGGGAACTGCGATAGGAAAGAGGCTCGGTCTTCTCCTAAAAAATGTATGACATTTTTTTGGCTGAATCGGATGAAAATTGAGTTCTTGAATGGAAAACTTTATGATTTAAATAAGTATGATATTTTATTATGTTGGTTGAATCTTGCAAAACTTTAAATAATAAAATAAAAAAATAATTTAATA